CATTACAATAAGGCATTGTACGAACGGTTTCGGCACCATTTTAAAGGTGCCGTCGATGAAGACCGGAATTGCTGGGTTTCGTAGCAAGAGGACTAGATCTGGGAGCCCAAATCCTACGATACGGCGCTCCTTATTCTTGACAGACCACCCAGTGTTAAACCTCACAAAGGAGCGTTTGTCCGAGTCGCTGAGCCAGCGCGCCTCGGCCTTGTCGAGCGAGTGTAGCATATCGCAACCCATACCCTTGCGGGTATTTTTTGACAATGTTGACACCTTGCAGTTTTGGGATGGCGTTCAGCGTGTTTCCTTTGTGTAAGTTGTTCAATGCTGAGCGGACACGCTACCACACCATTGATGAAGCTTCAGACGCTGATTCTAGAGCCGCTCGCTGGAGCTGCTGACGCATTTCACACCGCACATCCATGACTTGAATCGGCAGTAAATTCTCGCAGTTGTGCTCACCGCGAGCGCGTACGTGTTCTCTTTTCGAAATCAGCTTTGCAAGGCAGCCTTGTCGGAAATGACGGCAGTTGTAGTAGGTGGTGCCAGTGACTTTGTTCGTTGTCCTAATCACATACTTCTTCCCTTCGTGCAGCATTTTGGAAATGCCTGAATGAAGTAATGCCCTAGCTCGAGAACGCACTACACGCCAACCGTTCTAGCCATACTTTTACTAGCAAAAAGGTAAGATTTAGATCCGTAATTTATAAAATAACGCATATGTTTTGGACAGATTTTGGATAAATGTGGTAATTTATCACCAAAGCAGCAAAACCCAAATTGGATATTTTGGCCAAAGTTGGACTCGTTTTGGACAGAATATCCAACATCCTCGGAAACGGCCTGCTGGCGCTCTCGTGGTGTCAGTTCTCGTCTTGTGCGCAAGTTAGTCTCAATGGCGGTCAGTGGTTCGTTTCAGAATACTCCAGATATGAGCTAGGATGTCTGTGCTTGTTTGCCACTATTTTTGGCTCGAAAATACTCGAGTTGCCACCGATCGAGAAGTTCTGCACACCATTGAAATCGCACTGACTCGAGCTTGTATTTAAGGCCAATCCGAGGCCATCTCGTGTAATATTGACGAATCCCGAGCCAAACTGGCAAAAAGGGACAAGTAATATGAAACGGAGTAGTACGTAATACATGTAGCAAGCTCTCGTAGTTTGCTCACGAGCCGAATCAGCCCCAAACGAAGCAACGAAATAGTTCAATCATGTAATTTTGGAGATGTTGGAATCTAGATTAAAAAAAAACATTTGTATTCTCAACTTGCCTCTTCCAACCATTCTATTAGTGCGATGATCCTGCGGTGAGTGCAAGTAGACGATGCTTTGAGGTAGCCTTGTACACTCTGCGACACAACTGATCACCCGGGGTCGTTTTGGTCCGTAACGACGTCAATATTTCGAGTTAGCAAGTGCTGTTTGGATATGTGCTTGCTGTGCTTAGCAACACTACGCGGTTTGTGCTAACGAGCGCAACTTCGCAACCTGCGAGGTACCTCCCATACAACTTTCTACTTTTACCTTCGCGACACATTAAATCACTCGCTGTCTACATACAGAAGTCTAGTATAAAATGTTGGCCAAAATCAGTAGTGAGTCTTATTACCCTTTCTGTCTAGCAGTTCAACGCATCGGCGAGGCATCGATTCGATGAGAGACTGCAACAAAGCAATTGGGGTATCATCCCAGCCTTTGAAATGCGCTGCCTTCAATTCTGGCACGCTAATGAACTGTTTGCCATTTCCATAGACTTTCCTACTTATAAAAGCCCACAAGTTTTCAATAGGATTGAGGTCGGGCGATTTTGATGGCCAATCTAGAACAGCTATGCCCTGCTCTTCAAAAAAAACTCCTTCGAGCGATGAGAGACATGGATACTAGCGTTATCTTGTTGGTAGATAAAATCTATGCCGTAGTTTAGGTGTGCAAAGGGGAGGAGATACTCAGACACAGTGTGGACGTAATCGTCTGAGTTCTGCCTCCCCGTCAGCACGACAAGTGAATACTTGCCACGGGCGCTAAAAGCAGCCCACACCATAATCGAGCCGCCACCAGCCTGACGCCGTTTAGTGCAGCGTGGTGGCTAGCGGACATCTCACCAGTAATACTGGAAGCCGTCGGGGCCGTCCAGGTTCCACTTCTTCCCATAGGAGAAGATGATGGACTCCCAGATAGCCCCGGCGTCTTTCTGTAGCAGCATGGCCCCCGCCCAAGCCTTGCGCGCCAGCATGTCTTCGGCCTTCAGAGGCAGCGTGTTGACCATTTTGGTATACACCAACCAGTCTACCCTAGCGAGGGTGCGCTGAATGGTGCGTACCGTGACAGGAAGGCCCAACTCTTCCTTGATCTTGGCAGCAGAGAGTTCCCCCTTGGCAGCAGCACGGACGAGGCGGCGAGTCTCGCGTTCAGAGAGGGCGGGAGCACGACCAGGAATCTTCGCGCCACTACGAACTTCACGGAGAGCCTGCCCCGAAGCCACTACGCGCCGCACAGTCTGCGCGCA